TTTCCCCCTGGGGAGGGGGTAAACTTTACTATAGTTTATATAGGGAAATCACATTTTGGACCAACATTTGTTTAATTTCCATTGGAAGTAATTCAATTTGGGTTAGCATTATCAGTATTAGGTAGCAGTTTGATAGTATGCACCTATGAGCCCTGACTGACCCTCCGGGGCTGATGGGTGGGGCCAAAAAGGGTCGAATTGACTGAAATTTCAAAAATCTTCTTTTGAAGACCAAGATATGGTAGAATCAAATACTTTTCATAGATGGAAGGGTCTTAAGGTGCTATACCAAAATTGTGAATTTCATGACTCTGGGGTCTCACGTTTACCCTTGGGGAGGGGTTAAACTTTCCTATTTGTTTATATAGGGAAATCACATTTTGGACCAACATTTGTTTATTTTCCATTGGAAGTTATTCAATTTGGGTTAGCATTATCAGTATTGGATAGCAGTTTGATGGTATGCACATGTAAGCCCTGACTGACCCCCCGGGCCTGATGGGTGGGGCCAAAAAGGGTTGAATTGACTGAAATTTCAAAAATCTTCTTCTCAAAGACCCAGATATGGTAGAATCAAACACTCTTCATAGATGGTAGGGTCTTAAGGTTTATAATGGCAAATGATACTTTGAATATTACATGTTAATAACTTGATTGGAATTATAACCTTGAGTTGATAGTTTGATACTATGACAATTTTGAGCCAGCCCTTCCCCCAAGGGCTGTAGGGTGGGGCCCAAAGGACTCAGTGTGCTAAAATTTCTTCATTTTCCTTGTTTTTAACCAGAGGTGCTAGTTTCAAATACTTTTTAGTCTTAAATCTGTATGCTAAATATTGAATTAGGTGGTTTTATTGTTTTTTGTCAGTTTGAATAATATTTCTGTACATGTTAAAAACAAAATCAACTCTCTCTATAAATATATCAGGTGACCGTTATGGCCCATGGGCCTCTTGTTCATATATTTAATTACGCTACTTCTATTGATATGCAGTAGCATTTATTTTGATCTTGAACATCGCTCACTGCAGGGAAATGGTGGCATTTGATTTAAAATATCAAATACTGATGTTGTTAACATGCAGTGATCATTTAAAGAACATTCGACTGGCAAATTTTGAAGTAACTCTATAACGATCTTGTTTATCTGGAAAAAGAAAATCGGCAAAACCCCCAAAGAACGTTAGATATATAATTCATATTTTTTATCGAAAAAATTTCATCAGAAAAGAAAATGTCTGTAGTGATAGCGAGAATATCAGCTAATTGATCTGGTTCATTTGTTAAAGGCTAAATAAGGAATTCCCGTCAACTTCATTCACAAATATAGTAATTTTTACTAGTATACCCTGGATCAACAAACGTATGATAGTGAGTGAAGAGTGATGTCGTCAGTATTCTCCTGTAATGTTGAACGATTTTTTTTTACCTGGAATTAAAAGCAAAACAGCTAGAAAATGCAGATTGACAACAAATCCGTAATTCAACTTCAAACTCGATAAAGCTATGGGAAAATTATTAACACAGGAGTGATTTACAGATAATTCTTGAAAATAGATCAAGTAGATGGAAACCATGTGAATAAGATCATCTTTATGACACCAGAATTACATGAGATCATTAGAAGTTATCTTAACCCGACAGAGAAAGTTACAGTGCTTAAACTCAATACTGATACATAAAGAAAAATATTTTTGAGATCGTTCACAATTACTCTGTTCTCAAAGGATATTTGGCTTAAATATTAGGGTTTCTAAATGAACGTAATTGGCACACTGACTTAGAGCAGGTATTTATTAAGATCAATTGTACGAGAATGCACAAAGACAAAGATAACGGATCCGGAAGTGTGGTTAGTTCAACACATCTATATAAAGTAACACACGAAGCTAGAAAAACAGCATTCAATCTTCAATTTTTAAAGAAACGTAACTTAAAGATTACGAAATTGTTACAATATACCCCTACCTATTTTCTGTTTTACTCGAAATCAACATATATCAAAACATTTATAGAAGTCATTCTTAATCTTAAGATAATGACTTTATAAATAAACAAGAGACCCAGAGGGCATGTATCGCTCACCTGGATATCTAAGCAATCATGGGAAACTATTCTCCAAATGAGATCCAAGGGAATATGCCACACCCCAAGGCCAATCCTTGCAGCATATCTGTATTTGATTTTTTTATGCCCAGCAATTTTATGTATGTTTATGGGGTGGGGATCTCAACCGTTTCCAAGCTGTGACTCAGAAACTAGGTCCCTGGGGTTGTGGCCAGACCCCAGGATCAATTCTAATATCATGACTGAATTTGTCTCTTTTTGCCCAGCATTTGTATATATATTGGGGTGGGGATCTCAACCGTTTCAAAGTTATGACCCAGGGGTTAAGTCTCCAAGGGTGGGGCCAGACCCTAGAGCCATCCTGGAAGCAAATGTGCATTCCTCTCTTTATACTCAGCAATTGTATATATGGTTATATGGGGATCTCAACCATTTCCAAGTAATTATTTTTGTTTGGCCCCACCCCTTAGTCCGGAGGGTTAGCCCCACCATTTGTACAATTTTGAATCCCTGCCTCCCATGAATGCTTTCGACCAAATATGATCAATATCCATGTTACAGTTCTACGGAAGAAGTCGTTTATAGCAAATATAGCCAAATTGCCCCCTTTTTGCCCAGCCCTCAGCCCCCTGGGGGGTCAGCCCCACCATTTGTACAATTTTGAATCCCCACCACCTAGGGATACCTCCAGTCAAATATGGTTGATATCTATCTCTTAGTTCCAGAGAAGAAGTCGCTTAAAGCAATATTGCTAAATAACCCTTTTTGGCCCCGCCCCGCAACCCCCACGGGGGTCAGCCACACCATTTGTACAATTTTGAATCCCTGCTTCCCATGAATGCTTTTGATTAAATATGATTGATATCCAGTGCATAGTTCTACAGAAGTCGTTTGTAGCAATATAGCCAAAATGCCCCCTTTTTGTCCCGCCCCTCAGCCCTCTGGGGGGTTAGCCCCACCATTTGTACAATTTTGAATCCACACCACATAGGGATGCTTCCAGTCAAATTAAGTTAAATTCCAATCAGTGGTTAAGAAGAAAAAGTCGTTTAAAGAAATTGTTGACGGACGGACGACGGACGACGGACGGACGGACAACGGACGCCACGGTATGGCATAAGCTCACATTGGTCCTTCGGACCCGGTGAGCTAACAAGTGATGACAAAGGAAATTACCTTTATAACTTACAACTCAGTAGAGGAATTTATTTAGCACTAATGCCAAGCATGGACCTACACAACAAAACACAAAGGATAGGACTACTACAGAGAAATTTCAAACAGGTGAAGCCGAAAAGGAAGAATACATGGAAACCATTGATTTGAACGGGCTCAGGATTTTTATTTAAGCTTTACGTTTTTGTCACTTTGTGTGTCTTTCTGCATCGAGAAACAAAATTTTAAAAAGGTGCTTCCTTGCTCCTCATATCTAGTGAGTGATAATTTTGTCGACAGAATCTAGGGTCTACTTTCTCGACGAGGTGTGCAAGTCTACTGGGATATTGGTACACAGGAACAACATCTAAGGCCTATATATCAAAGCAAAATACGGATATTGATGAATAAGAAATACGTAGCAACAATACATCATTGATAAGATAGTAAAATTATCAAGGAATTGAGACACCCAACATACTTCTACATTTGATATAGCTGAATATACATTAGCTTCAGAAACGGAGGGTCAACTACACTTTTATTGTCGCAAGCCTATATGATAAAACGAAGAACGTAAGAGTTTTAAACAAGAGGCCCAATGGGCCTGCATCGTTCACCTGGTATAAATCTCACACTTGTAACCTTAAAGTGATCTAAAATAAAGCTACAGGCAGAATATCAGAATTAATGAATAAAATTCATTCAAAAGAACCTGTTTTTTTTTTTAAAAACATTTCACCCCTGTTATTGAAAGTCGAACAAGGTAATTATGTTGAACAGATTTTATAGCATTTCATCTCAGGATGCAACTTGCAAAATATCAACATTCCGGGACCCATGGTTATTCAGAAGAGGTCGTTTAAAGATTTTAAACAAATTTGACCCCTGTGACCTTGAATATAAGTCAGTCATTCAGTTCAACAAACATGGTAGCCCTTCATCCTAGTATGCTACTGACTAAATATCAACATCCTGGACCTTTTAGTTATTCAGAAGAAGTTGTTTAAAGGTATTTTTTAACAATTGACCCATGTGACCTTGAATATGGGTGAAGGTCATTCATTTGAACAAACTTGGTAGCCCTTCATCTCAGCATGCTACTGACCAAATATCATCGCCCTGTGCATTTTGGTTATTCAGAAGAAGTTGTTTAATGTTTTTCACATATTTGACCCCTGTGACCTTGAATATAAGTGAAGGTCATGCATGTGAACAAACTTGGTAGCCCTTCATCTAAGCATGCTACTGTCCAAGTATCATCACCCTGTGCATTTTGGTTATTCAGAAGAAGTTGTTTAATGTTTTTCACATATTTCACTTCGTGCCAAGTGAGCTAAAAATAGAAAACATCTTAAAAGTGCTCAGAATCCCCTACGGAGAAAACAACACAAACAACCAATGTCTCTTTTTGTGCTGTGTATGCGGATCTGATACCGACTTTATAGTGCTTCCTCACTGGAATATCATGCTGAAGGCACCGAGCACGGCATTTCGCCCGGTCACTTTATACCGGCAACGGATGAACCTGTTGTTATGACAGTTAAATCCCTTACACATAAAAGAAGCATCTGTGGCGGCTACAAACACCAATACAACAGGAATACAATGTTATAACCGCAGTAGTGAAATAAGAAGGGTGACGTTTATACCACAATAATACAATAATAAAACAAGCAAACAAGAGACCTGTCTCGAACTATACATGTAACAAAAATATATGTACTTTGCGAAATAATAAAATGTCAAGAAACCTGAACAGAAAACGATCAATGTGAAGTATGTTAGTAAGTGGTGTTAAGGTAGGATTGCAAATCTCACAAAATAATGACGATAGGTTGAAAACCTATTTGTATAGGCTTACCGAGGCACGATGATACTGAGACAGAGGCGGCGACGGAGGGTTGATGTATGTGATACCGTTGATCTGGGGAGTGAAAAGGTGATGGGCATGGTGTCCACCAACTGCCCCCATCTGGGACGACAGAGAGTAGTATTCCGGATCGTGGAAGCGGTAGTTTTCCACCATGTTGAAGTCCATTGCCAGATAGAACTGTCTATCCGGGATCGGCTTCAGCGAGATGTCGTTGGGTTCAGTGGACAACAGATCGGCCACCGTGATCATCGCGTCACCATTCATCTCCTCGTTAAACGGATTCAGCTTCTGTAGGGACATATATCAATTGTAATTATTTACGTTACCACGTTTTAGTCTCTAAATAAAACAACTGAAAATGTCACACCAAGAACTTTTACACATGGATGTTTTCCAATCCGTCAACCAACACAGTCATCTAATAAGGAAAGATATCTCCAACAGAGAGGACTTGTTAATGGCCCTATTCTCAACTCAGAGAGAAGGAATTAAGTCAAGCAGGTCAAGTTTTACAATCCAAAAATATTCCGAATGTTCGGGTTCCTTCCGACAATGCTGTTAGAGTATTCGGTGAGAAATCTTGTCGTGACGACAAATTCAACCTCTAGAACATTTCGAATGGTTTCGTCTGATGGAACGGGACGATACACAACATAACACCTTTCCAATTAAACACGGCTATTCAACCATTTTGGTGAAATTGAAAGAAACCAACCAGAAACATAAAATTGATGACTTAGCTGATGCAGGTCTACAACATAGTTCCGTTCACAGATATGTCCAAAATGCGCTAAATTTTGTATGAAAGGGGGTCCAGCAATAAACCGTACGTACAGGTATATTCGCGATTTCTTAGCAAGTTTAAACTGCAAATTCGAAAATTAATACAGAAAACGTTTGAAAAATAGCCAAAGTAAATGCATTATTTACTTATTTTATCTTATTCAACTTGTATCCGCTATGAAAACTACAGAAGAAAATGCACGAACTACTTACCATGCCCCGCCGATTTCCGCTTTCATAGTCGGTACAACCAGAGGGGAGTGTGTCTGGTGCGCCTAAATACCGCAGTATGGCGGTCTGAGAAGCGGACTTCATTTCCGGCCCGCAGTCAGCCAGGCCCCGCGTCCTAATCCAATAGTTTCCCACAGGATTAATGGCTTCAATAATCACATCATAACGTTCACCGGCAAATAGGTTTAATGACTCTACTTTCACAGGTTTAAATGGAGATCCGTCTGAACTTATCACAAGCAACGTATGGTTATCAATAGAAAAATGAATGGGACAATTGTTGACTCCGTTGCTAATCAAACGGAAACGAGAACGGAACCCTGGTGTAATAAGAAAGACAGCATTGGGTGTGTGCACCTCTTGATCCTTCTGGTGTCCAGTATCATTACCACAACCCGGTTTCTCACTGCTCCTCCTTGACCGGTGGTGGTTATGGCCTTCGGTCGTACTATCCGATGACCTTATACCATCAGTATGCAAATGTTCACGCGCACTTTCTGAATGGCCTTCTGGCGTTGTTGCTGCATGTGATCCCATTGGCTGGCCCATGTCCACATGTGCATCATGTGCTGTCATACTTGGATGGTCACCGTGAGACATTGGCGATTCAGTGGGCATCATGGTTGGAGTAGGACCACGTGACAGATGATTAGAGTTTTGGTCATGTGACCCGTCGCTATGCGTCATACCGTTATGACCGGAAATGATGGAACTTTCGCTATGTGCAGTCGGTTGACCATGAGTCATTGATCCAGTCGGGTGCATCTCATGGCCGTCATGCCCCTTGCTGGCCCCCATATGGCCCCCGTGTCCATGTGAATGTTCGCTATGAGATGGTGACTCGCTGAACACGTGCTTGGACCCGTGCCCTAGAAACAGAGATGTGAACTAAATCAGCTAAAGAGTACATGGGTTTATTAAAGCGGATAAAGCAATTTATTACTTTTACCAGACATAAAGATGATGACTTAACATAAAACTCTTAGTTTAGGTAAAATTGCAAATGTAGTGACCCACTGACCAGTGCCAGTAACTCACAGACCAGCACATATACCGCACTGACCTGTGCAGTTACCTACTAGCAGTACATATACACGTGACCTACTGACCAGTACACAAAACACACTGACCTGTGTATGCGACCTATTAGCAGTACACGTATACGTAACCTACTGGCCGGTAGACAAAACACACTGACCTGTGTATGCGACCTACTAGCAGTACTGGTATACGCGACCTACTGGCCGGTAAACAAAACACACTGACCTGTGCACATGATCTACTAGCATTCCGTGTACACGTGACCCACTGACCAGTAAACATAACCCGGTCACTGATCATTGTAATTAACTCACTAACCAGTACGTGGAATCTCACTGACAAGTAAACATAACCCATTGGCCATTACCCGTCACCTATTGACCAGCATTTGATCAACTGACCGTTAATGAGGATGGAGTCCGGAGAGTGTTCAGTCATGGCATGGTGATGCCCGGCGTATCGGGTGGCGCTCATTTCCGACAACCAATCATTTATCAATACCGTGTGGTCGGGGAGGTCAAAGTCATACTCAAGTCCATGTACGTCACGTGATCTCGGCTGGCGAATCACAAGAGCTCCAAACAGACCGTCTGCTCGCTGTAGACCAGCGTGCGCATGCCAGTAGTGAGTGCCGGGAAGCTCTGCCAAGAAACTAATAATATATTGCCTCTTAGAATATAACGTATCTGCATTAAATGATACAGTATAAGATATATTGATTAAGTATTTATACATTGAAACGATACACAGAGATTTGTGAAATGTGGCATGTGTCATCCTCAACGAAATTCCAAGAGATGTAAAACAAGGCAACAAATGATCAAAGAGCGGAAATACATACTTATACTGGAACGTGGAGTGCGCATGGATCGGGCACTGCGTCAGCATGGCAACGCCGTCCATATAAGGAGTTCCGTGCTGAAGTACCCCGTGCCAATGAATGGTGGTCCCCTCAGATCCTTCTAACTTGTTCTTAACATTCACTTTGATCGCATCTCCGACACAAACCTACAATACGATAGAGCATAAATACCACATCCATGTAATTGGTAAGTCAAACAAGAGCAAAGACGTGGTCGAACGCGATGGATAGCAAGATGGATAGCAAGATATCACACAATGACTGCGTTTAAGTTGCACGTTGAACATCGAACGCGTTAAACAAATGGTTTACTTTTGGTCCGGAATAGTTGCAACATCGAAGATTATTTTAAATGTACATAACACCACGTGATGTTTTTGATATATGACGTTGCTCATTTTGACACGACTACTGGAGATACAACGAGGACTTCGCCTGAATCATAATTGCAACTTTTGAAGAAATATGACGTTTGATATTATTAGGCAAAGTAATAATTTCTAATCGTTGTTCAAAAACCTTCCTTAGCACTCTTAAACCTACGTCTACTTTATAATTAAGGACACCTGTCACAATGCACAGCCCTTTTCCCTATATATATATATATAAAGTAACCACCCTTGACATCCGTTTGTACATAACTGTGTGGCAGACTTAAATTATACATAGGATTACGGTCGCCTGCTAGCTTCACGCCAAAAGAGTGCCCGAGTGTCCGTAAGATCGCGGGTTCGATCCCCGTTGGAATCAAAATGTTCTTTTCTCTTTCCTGTTACAAATGGTGTCCGTGGCCCTCCCTGTGGTGACAGGGAGTTAGAACCTGGGTTGTGGTGTTCGATGGCGAACACATTAAAGAAGCGGGAGTGGTGTAGCAGATTTCAATTACTTCGCGCTAGAGAGAATTTCCCTTTAGCTCAGTGGCAGAACGTCCGACTAGGAAGTCCGGGGTCGCAGGTTCGATCCTCGGCGGACGCAGACTATTCTCTTTCCTGTTACCAATGTAACACGTTCGGGCCTGTACACTTCCGTTGACGACGTAGCTCAATTGGGTTAAAGCGATACGATTACAATCTGGAGTCAATGTTTCGAATACCGGCATATCTTCGCTGATTTTGTTTTGCATTCAGAACACTCCGATTGATTATATTTTGTTTATTTCATCTTTATTGTTTTTCATAAAAATCCCAGAGGGTATGGTTTTGTTTCAGAAAGGACCTATCCAGGCTTTAGTAATGCTGGTAAAAACAGTTTCCAATATTTAGTTAGAGTTTTGGCAGTGGGACGGAGACCCCTAACCTAAATATCTCAGTCCCGCTATTGGTATCGAACGGTCTTAAAAGAAAGTCGTACTCACATGTATTCCCGGACCTGGAATCATTCTGTTAACTGTCAGTATACCACGTGACCTTCCATCTGCGGGCACGCAATGTGGGCGGGTGCAGTCTGTCTGGTTGTACGGGCAGCCGTAGCAGGCCCGCGTCAGGGTGTAGTAGTACTCGATGATGAAGTCGTACTCGCACACCAGTGAGGGGGCGCCCTCCACACACTCTCGTGAGCAGGGATGGTTGTGGTAATCTGGCGGGAAATCAGAATACGGTATCGCAAAGATGTTTATTTTCAATGTGTGATGTTGGTGTCGTGCGACATTTATGTAGATTATTAGAAAATCAAGAGAAATGTTTGAACACATAAATATCAGTATTTACAGGTAAATTTCCAAAAGCATTAAGTGGTACCCGGCAGTGCTGCTTGATACGTTTTCAATGAAATTGATTGTCTCTCTAGATTTTCTATTATCCACCAGACTGCGCTTTGAACTAGCGGAGAGAAATAGTACTTTAGACAGATCCCTGCGATATTTTAAGTCACAAAGAAATACTTAGTGCCGATTGGAACTGCGGTACAACAGTACATATAGGACAAAGGAAACAAGAATCAAAGTTAGATTTCAAGAAAATTATTTGATCTAGACTGGCTACCAGCCCCTTATTTTTTATCAAGAATTTCCCGGCTGCATTTTACTACTAGCTTATATCCCCCTAGTTTTAAAATCAGACATCCAAGTGATCAAAATAATTCTATATTCTAGAGGCAAGGGCCAGTCTACATTTGATCATCAATGATATGGTTCAGCTTACATTGAGTTTGTTTTTGTCATTGTACATAATTAAAATGATCGTGTCAAAAGTAAACAAACTGAGCATACCTCATTGAAAGCATCAAAACATAAAACCTGACAATGGCTTCACGAACGGTATACACACGTGACGTCAGTGAAGTGCAACACAGTAGCGACTATGTCCCTTATGTTTGAAATAACACCTACGTTTAAGGCAATCAACGGTAACCAAATGCCCTATTCAGAGCATTTACATTCTCGTACGTTCTGAGTGTTTGTGATGCGTCTCTGAATCTGCCCTGTTCAAGTTGGCATTGTCTGTAGTCATACCTGACGTCAGACTACCAAAAACAAGTCTCAATGAACACAAAGACTTTCTTTTAAAAGATATGGTTTTTAACTTAATTTTCATTTTAACAAATAATTTCAGCTAAGGATATGCAAAATCGGACTTCAATATGTTTGTGCGTGTGATTTCATAGTTATATTCAGCAGGTGCGCTACAGAATTTTTCTTGCATCAAAAACTTCCAAATTGTCTTAATACCAGCACCATAAAGAACAACCAAAATACGAGTAGCAGAAATGATTACAAAATATTTGGAAAAACTGGTCCCTGCCGATATGTAGCTGTCGAAAACCCCCATTTAGTAACCTGTCACACTAACTATGGGGTTAGGTTCTTTACGATTTTGTTTGTGTGCAGCGACTGTAGTTTGTACGTTGAGGCAAGGAAAATTCCCAAGACACCTACGGTCTTAGTAAGCCAGGATGGGACTTTGAAGCTAAAATGCTTTATATATATATTGTATTGTTTGCAGGTTAGCTAACTATTTTTAATCATAACAACGTACAACAACAAATAAATAAGTAAATAAAAACATAAAAATGAGGAAACGTTTGAAAATACCGAAAACCAGCGGAATCCTCTCATCTTTAAAAAATCCTAATACAGAAAATCGACAGTGTGGCTAGATAAGAAAAGGCGTTTAATATGCAGTGCTCCGCACTGCCGTTTATATTACAGGGACACCTGGAATCACAATGTAGGCACTGCAGATTTTGAGAACCTTATTTCTCCAGGAGGCCGTAAACACGTCCAAGTTTTACGCCCTCTTTACATTCAATAAGGAAATGCTCCACCCATGTGGACTCGTTAAAAACAGATTAAGCAGTCGACAATAAGCGGTAACACAGACACTAGGGAGGTCACCGTGACGCCCAACCGTAGCCAATGTGGTGTCTCGCAGACACTCTACCAGGAATCGTACAGCGAACGTATGTTGTTAACGTACATAGAAAACAAAGCATCGCAGACGAAGAATATCACATCGCGTTCACAACAGACTATTAAAAATGTATCTACATTTGCATGCATCTTATCAACGATATCTAGTTCACTCTGGCAACTTAATTCTCTGGTAATGAGTAATGTTTGATCTGTTCATGAAAAATTCATAACACGCTTTTTGGTATTGAAATATTGTTTTTACTTTCTTACCAAAAACGTAGTATATTTAAAATGTACAATGCTTGGGCTAGCTTCGGTTTCGATCCCAAATTACACATCCTAGTGTAGAATTGCTTAACCTTTTATACCATTCACTCTATTGTTCTTTCTTTTGCCAAAGAAAGTCGGCGTCACATAGTTTATGGAGACAGATATTAACAGCCAAGCGAACCAGGACATTTAACATGTCGCTGTCATGTTTTTTTATGTACAGTAACATTGAAAACAAACCTAAAAACAACTCGTTAATCTAATTAAACGTTACTCGTTCCAAAACAGCTACAACTAAACGAAAAAAATACGAAATTGGATTCTGTAAGTAATTCACGTTATCCCACTTCATCCAAAGAGGTGACTAATGTCCCTAAACGCAGAATCGCGGGCTTTTCTTTTATCTCTCCTGCTTAGCGGAAATTAAAGAAACCTAAATTGATCTACTGCCCTATTAGGATCTATATTTTTTTCTTTTCTGACTTTCTGATTTTCTGTTTTAGGTGTTCCTTCCTTGGCACCCGTTTTTACGTGTCCTTAGCTTTCGCGAGGACGTTAACTCCGAAACAAACAAACTCGTTATCCTACTTTTTCTTTTTACAAGAAATTCCGTCCATACACTGAAGCTTTCAAGGCCACTTCACGTGAACTTTGAGTAATTTACGTGGTACGTTTATAGTCGCACTACTAATCACGCGAATACTGTCTGTGTTATATATGGCGACTACCTCACACTACAGAATATCCATATATATTACATAAAAAGAATCCATATATAGTACATACAAATAATATCCATATATAGTACATATAAAGAATATCCATATATTGTACATATAAAGAGTATCCATATATTGTACATATAAAGAGTATCCATATATAGTACATACAAAGAATATCCATATATTGTACATATAAAGAGTATCCATATATTGTACATATAAAGAGTATCCATATATTGTACATACAAATAATATCCATATATTGTACATTTAAAGAATATCCATATATTGTACATATAAAGAGTACAAGCCGAGTAGTGCAATATTTAATACATGTGTCGTATAGTCGTCCTTAGGGTCAACTCGACACGGGATCCTGACCATGAACTAACATAATTATTTATAGCTTGCTGTTAAGTGATTATTTCCAAAAACATTTATATCATTATGTTAGCTATTGTTTACCTTGTTTTGACTTTTTAGTTTTGATAATTCTGCAGATTTCTTAATGTTACCTGTTGTAGCAAGAAGCAGTAGTTAAGATGTCGAGAAAAAACGGTAAATACATGATGATTTATTAAGAAGACCACTTTTAAAAAATGACATTTCCGCTGTTTGAGTGAGTTTAGGTGTCAAGAGCTGTCTACAAGGTGAGACGCCTAGGACACAAGTACACACAGGAACTGCTCAGGTTTACTGGTATGTTAGCTTGACTACCATACAGGGTCTTTTATTTTGTTTTAAACATATTTTATTGCCTTTTTTACATAGCAATGGAAAAAAGGCAATAAAATATGTTTAAAACAAAATACAGGGTCTTGAAATATCGGTCACACAAGTCCTAAAACGGAAGATTAGTACTGTGGTATAGGGATCGGAGCTTCTGAACGCTGGCTTTACACACAAAGCGACATTCTGTGAGCGTACATATAAGCTAAGCACAGACATATACTGAGCATATACACTTAGCACAGTGATACATTTATCAGATCTACCTTAGCACGCCGATTTAAAGGGCGTTTAAGATCAAGCTTAGCACATCGACAGACTGGACGTGAAAGATCCGACCCCGCATATCAATGCATGGGAACCAATTTACAAGAAAAGAAATCTTATATTTTCGAAGATTGTCCCACACAACTGAAACATATAAGATCTGACGGAATTATCAGTCGTCATTGGACAATCACCTATCGATGATGACAATAAAGTACATCGATATCGGTACAATATCGATTCCTTTATATCGCGCGTAACGTCATGCTACCACGATTGGTACGCTTTCCAAATTGGTACAAGGGTCAAAAATGGCTCAAATAGTTCTTTCAAATGACATTTGTTGATTTTCCTCTGATGGTATACCAAAAAGATATGTTTATCAGCATTTTCACCAAATAGTTTTGTTCACAGCAACAGTTTAACAGAACGACGCACGTCGACGAAATGTTTGAGGATTTTAAGGGGTTAATTATAAGCATGTTTAAATGTTGATTTCTGGTCCTTATGACAGGATAATATAACAAGAGGCCCATGGGCCTTAACGGTCACCTGATATATTTATACAGAGAGTTGATTTTGTTTTTAACATGTACAGAAATATTATTCAAACTGACAAAAAACAATAAAACCACCTAATTCAATATCTAGCATACAGATTTAAGACTAAAAAGTATTTGAAACTAGCACCTCTGATTAAAAACAAGGAAAATGAAGAAATTTTAGCACACTGAGTCCTTTGGGCCCCACCCTACAGCCCTTGGGGGAAGGGCTGGCTCAAAATTGTCATAGTATCAAACTATCAACTCAAGGTTATAATTCCAATCAAGTTATTAACATGTAATATTCAAAGAATCATTTGCCATTATAAACCATAATAAATTTTGCCGCCAAAATGTGATTTCCCTATATAAACTATAGTAAAGTTTACCCCCTCCCCAGGGGGAAACGTGAGACCCCAGGGTCATGAAATTCACAATTTTGGTAAAGCACCTTAAGACCCTTCCATCTATGAAGAGTATTTGATTCTACCATATCTGGGTCTTGAGAAGAAGATTTTTGAAATTTTAGTCAATTCAACCCTTTTTGGCCCCGCCCCTCAGGCCCCTGGGGGATTGGGACTAAACCGGCCACTATTTTTGTTGACCTTTGTCCATGGAAGGTCCCTGCACAATTTCATTGAAATTGGTTGAGGGGTTTTGGGGAAGAAGATTTTTGAAATTTTAGTCAATTTGACTCTTTTTGGCCCC